GCAACAGCAAATCAGAATGCATAACACCGGTCGCGCATCTCTGATAAATCTAGGACTCTGAGGCTGGAGTCCCATGAGGTGTATTTACCGCGTATCGCGTAACCGCGTAACCAATCAGAAGCGATCCGCTGTTGTGGTTTCGCGTTTTACTGATTATTGATTGGTTACGCGGTTACGCGGCAAATACGCTTTATGGGACTCCACCCTGAAGGTAAATTTTCACGAGCTGCTCAAACCGGCTGTTTCAGCGACAAAAAGAATCACGTGGTCAAAATTGACGAATATCAAACGTCCATTTTGAGCACATGACCCTTTTTGTCGCTATTACAGCCGGTCAGAGCAGCTCGTGAAAATTTACCTTCAGGGTGGTGTCCCATGCAGCGCATCATGCGTAAGCTGATTCGCGTATCGCCAATTACAGAATCATTCTCTTAGATATGCTTGCGAAATTTGCAAACAGATCTAAGAGAATAATTCTGTGATTGGCGATACGCGAATCCTCTTACGCACGATCCGCTGCATGGGACATCACCATACGGCGTACTTTTCGAGATGCGTAGGTTACGAAAACCAATCGTAAATTCATTTAGCATTTCTGTTAGAGTGTACAACAGAAATTCTAATCAGCAATTGGTTGCATTAGTTCCGCATTTCTCTAATCTTCCGCGAAATACGCTCAATGTGAATGCGGGCTTTCAGAATGGCGTATTCTAGTAAATAAAAAATAACGTATTCTAGTAAATTACTAAAATACGCAGGTTACGCTTACGCAGGTTACGCCGCATGTGACGGCACCCTTAATCGTCGATTCTTGCATTCTGACGTTGGTAACAGTCGCCCTTAAGCCGTAAGAAATTAACCAAGTACAATCGAATGCGAGGAGAATAATTGTGATTCGTCCATTCCTTATTTATGGCTTAAGGCTTAAAAATCTATTGTAGATCCGGGGTAAGGCCCTGCGCACAATGGAGGAAATATTAGGAACAGGAATAGATATTAAGATTTCAACCTATCAGAAATCTTGTATTCCGATGTAACGGGTATCTGATAGGTTAAAATCTTAGTATCTATTCCTAGGGGTCGATTCTGTATCTTCAAACAAGGTGAAAATTACAAAAGTGAGCAAATTTACTAGGCGTTGACCAATGAAATTATCAGTATTCTAGTAAATTCGCGGGAGGATCCCGTTTGCCTACAGTTCTGATTGTACGCACCACTCGTATCAACTGGTGCCTAGTAATTTTTCACTGTTTTGCCAATGAGATTATTTTATTTTTAAATTGGCCAATCAGCGATACATGTGTGCAATATGGATGTGTGCATTCGGAGCCCTCCCAAATTCGCTCACTTTTGTAATTTTCACCTCATTTCAAGATAAAGAATCGATCCTCTGTTCCTAATATTTCCTCCATTGTGCGCAGGGCCTAACAATTAAGGTAAATTTTCACGAACTGCTCAGTGGCTCAAACCGGCTATTTCAGCGACAAAAAGAATCACGTGATCAAAATTGACGAATACCAAACGCCTAAAAATTTACCTTTAGATCTTCGTTTCTTATAACATTCTACAATTAGCGTGCTTGAGGTTAAGGTGAATCTATTTTGTTCAAATGGCAGATAAATATTTTAGTGCTCAGGAATATACCGACATGATCATCATATATGGTGAAGCCGGAGAAGACCCTGTTGAAGCTGCCAATCTGTACGCAGAACGATTTCCTGGACGCAAGATATTTCCCGATGCTAACATTATTTTAAGTTGTGTTCAACGTGCGCGGGAAACAGGATGCGTGTTGCAGATTGAAACTGACGCTGAATAGTAGTACGCTGGTGCATCTTCAGAGTTGTAGATTAAACATGCATGAATGAAAAATTCTATATTCGCGTGCACCAAGGTTCTTCGTGTATATTTCTTGTGAACTCATATAATTTCCAGTTCAAGTAAACTGCACTGCAATTATTTGGTGATCTTGAAATACACCAAACCTGGATTAGTGATACCACAAATTAAATTAACAAGCAATTTATTCTTAGAAAACTGCTTATTAGCATCAAATTATTAACAGTTATAATTGTTAATTTGTATGTGATTAATTTTTGCTATTCTGATCTCTATGTTTATTATTTATTGATTTACTCTTCTTGTATTTTATATGAAGTTAATTATTGCACGTTGATTCTTGTTTAGTTTGCGTGCCACTATGTTGTTTTGTAATTGTAGGTATCTGTTCTGACTTGTCGACTTACTTGGATATTTTACTAGTTGTGTATATGATTCAGAATAGTCCTCTACTGTGCATATCTTCTATGATTGCAGTTTGAGATTTCTAGTATATTTTTCATTATATGTAATTTTTCTGATAATTGAAATCATTCATATTTATATGTATTGTATTTTTTATATTATATTTATATAATTTTCTTGAGTTTTGTTATTATATTAAAGCAAATTAAATTTAAGATTTTGCTTATTTATAATCATGTTATAATTTTTTGAATTTTTATATGCTTGAGTCAATATAATCTACTTCAATTAAGTTGTTCTATTTGAATAGTTATCTTGGTTTACTTAGGTCCAGTTTCACAACTCATGATTAATTTTTAACTGAGGTTTAACTTACTCATCTCTTTCTAATACTAGAATTGGAAAGAGATGATAAATGAGTTGAACCTCGGTTAAGAGTTAACCGTGAGTTGTGATACTGGGCCTTAGAGTTTCTTACTTAACTTTAAAGTTTCGGCTTAGAATCATTGACATGATCTTGCACAGTACATCTATTGTAAGCTTGTATCATAAAACTTTTGGAGCTTTGTTTTGCTGGCCTTGGTTTGCTTTCGGTAGAGCCTTACTTCATGAATTTAGATATCAATTTAAATATTTATTCGGATTTAAATGTTTGTTGTGAATTTATACCTACATATCCAATTCTGTAAATCATGTGCTGAAATCTTTTTCGGTTTTGAAATGTAATCATGCACAGAATTGGAGTAATAATATCACATTAAATCAATATGCAATTTAACAATTTGATGCTAATAAGCATGTAGTAAAAATATTAACCATTTTATACAAGAATCTTAAAAACTATTAAAAAGTTTATTGTGAAAGATATTACCTCAACCAGGATCTGCTTTTATCGACCCAATAGGATTTAAAATTATATTTATTTTTATTGGTCCTATTTAGAATTATAATTCTTGCATGAAATTTGACATTAACTATATTTTAACTTATTTTACTTTACAAAGTAGTGACGAAATGATAAATTTTAGGTACATGGAACTGCACCCGACATTGTTGACCAAGATAAGGCAAACCCCAACTTGTTCTCCACTTGATGATTCTAAAGTACATAAGTCTGAGCAATCATGCCAAGATCATTGAACAGGCTGCTTACGATTACTATTAAGGACTATTAAGGAAGCAAAGTATCTAATCGGCGATTTCGGTGGTACTGCAAAGTGCAGTGAATATACCAATAAAATATTTATGTGGAAGTTGTCGCGTGAATTAAATAAAAGGCAGATAATTTTGTTGATCGAAATTTAAGCTGCCAAATACTAACAGAATTCGTGCATCCGCAATGAAGGAACCGCTATTATCTACCATTTGTTGTATCTCGTACAGTTTCGTGTATGTTTCCGCGCGATTAGAAATCTAATTAGAATCGAAGGAATGCAAGTATTATTGAATATTATTTTAGTCACTCACGCGTATAGATTTTCCCCTTCCTAGTACTATCTCGATTAGACGCGATTTGACTCAATTTCAAGATTTATCAAATCGTTATGTGTTGGAATGGCATTTAATTTTGTTTCGTTCAACATTAAACATACAATATGTACACCATCGTTTCTATCCACTTCATCAACCATTCAACGCTTCTACATGTAACCAATATGATACATCATTTAAACTATTTAGAGAAAAGATCTTTATACAGACTTAAAAATTAACTATGTAAATTGAATAGTAGAAATGCTGTATCAGTTTTAAATAAAATTGTTACGCGAGGCGTATATTTTTCCATTAGAGTAAGAATAGTTGAAAAATAAAAATTTATGAACTTTTAACATCTATTTTAGTTTGTATCGCAAATTATTTCGATCCTTATATATAAAACTAAACATTCTTAATAATTTATCGTTAGAATTTTGAGAATTTGAAAATTACTTTTAACATTCTTTTTCAGTTATAACAACAAATTCTTTTCTGTACAAGGTTAAATAATATTTGCATAAATTTATTGTTAAAAAATTTACAGTAAATCTATGCATAATAATTTGTAAAATAAATGTTAATAGCCGCAGCATAGACTCTTGCATAACGCATAATGCATAGTGCATAAAAGAATCAACCAATCGAAATTCTTTTCCATGGAATGGAAGCAAAGGAAAGATTCTGATTAGTTGATTCGCTTATGCACTATGTAAATAATTCACTGTAAAAGGAGATAGAATTTCATCAATAAAGAATGAACTAAATTGTTTTTTAACACTCCAGGCATATACTTTTCCTTTGTCAGTAAGAAGAAGTGTATGATAGATCCACATGCAACCTTAACTAAAAATCGAATTAAAGAAATTGATTATTTAATAGCGTCATTCAAAATTCTAGATTTACTTGTATATTTTCACTTTTACTGATAAATGAGTTTTATTACCAACTGTTTGTGAAGAAAATTCGCGATTACTCTTCCTAGATATAATATAAAATTATTTATCCTTCGATTATATCTCTTTAGTAATCCCCATTCAAAAACCTTGTTTTTATTTGTCACAATAATGTAAAACTTTTCCATAGGCAATGTGTGTAATCTTTTCATCGATATTTGGTTGTACAACATAATTACGAATTTTTGATTGAGGTTCATTCCACCAAATATAAAATGGTATTAAATAATAAATCTAAATTGAACGATCACAATATATTTAAATAAAATCCGTATATTTAAATAAATTCAATATAAATTATTATTATTATATTTATAGTATATTTTATTCATAAATTAACCTTAAAATTGATTAAAAATACCGTAAAATTCTTGAATATGATTGGTCTTGCCCTTAGTTCCTCACTGGATCTAAATGTATAAACCAATCATATTCAAGAATTTTACAACAGTTGCAAAGCTGCTTTCTCTGCTGAACGCAGCCAATGCTAAGAAGGCGATGGTGGAAATTCAAAGGCTAGTGGGAGTTGGTTTCTTTCTCTATATAGGATTAAACGAAATCCTTTAGAACTTTAGACCGAACAAGAAGAATTAAAATTCTTCACGTACAGATGTCGCCTGAATTGCGTACCGAATCTCGTTTAAAACTGAAATCGTTTGGAAAAAAAGAAAGAAGTTACACATATATATGTAGTGAATAGTATGTTATCATGAAACTTTTTTATTATCGTATCACTTTCTCTGCAGATGAAGAGAGACGAAATAGGCTCTATCAAATAAGCTCGGTGTCTCATGATAATATAGACTGCTTTCCTTTTAAGAAACATAAAGTCAACATAAATGTCGTTTTATTTGTATTATTTATTGAATATCAAGAAAGATAAAACGATGTTTGTAAATCTAAAACCTTATATCTACGATGCTATATTAGAAATCAGTTTGAGATCTCGGATGATGAAGGAACTGACAAATCACACATACCATGGTATATTGGACCCCCATTAACCTTGGCACGAATCGATAGTATACAGTCCTAGGATTAATTTGCCACCAAAATCATGCGAGCAAATAATTCTTACGACATTCCACGAGCCATTTAAGATGGTACTGATACGCAGCGCGCTGTTTGACCGCGCGCTCGTGCTCGACATATGGGCTTTTCAGTAGGACTTTACAGTTAGCAAATAAATTGCATTTTGGCACGAATCAATAGTATATAGTCCCAGGATTAATTGCTATCAAAATCATGCGAGCAAATAATTCTCACGACATTCCACGAGCCATTTAAGATGGTACCGATACGCAGCGCGCTGTTTGACGACGCGCTCGTGCTCGACATCCTGGCTGTTTTCGGCACTTTACAATTAGCAAATAAATCTGATTTGGTCATATTTTCGTAGTACGTGACCTAACGATTACTCTGATATCAAATACATTCGAGCAAATAATTCTGTGGAGGTAGAAAAGGGACTTGAAGTAGCGCGGCGCGGGCCGTGTAGGTTCTCGCTGCGCGATCGCTGGTATGGATTTAATATTAAAAATATTAAATTTCCGAATTTTATTTACGCTATCTTCGAACAAATAAAAAGCAAAAAATCTGGAGTGCTTAATTTCTTTGTGGCACCACGGGATCTATTTTTTTCAGTATGGGGGGTCCAGCTTTATATTAACCTGGACCCCCCCATTTTATTTTTTTATTCCCACTAAACCGCTGGAGTAAAAAAATTTTTTTTTTAGTAAATAATTAGCAAATAAAGAGCATTAAATTTTTGACCTATCGCGATTTTGATTTTCGATGGTGGGGGGTCCAGGTTAATGGGAGTGTGTATTGGTCATATGACTAAATTATTCAAAAATGTGATTTGTTAGTTCTCTCTCTGTTCGAGATCTCGGACCGATTTCTGGTATCGTGAAAATAGACTTTAAAAGGAAAGTATCCATAGCTTCTCACTCTACGACACTGTGTGTGTGTGTGTGTGTGTGTGTACAAAATCATTCATATCACTGTACTCTTATTGTGTTTCAATATTTATAAATGTATATAGCTATAAGATTATCCTCTTACTGGTTCTACACACAAGGAAAAGGTCATTTGATCATTCGTTTCTTTTATTTCCAAGCGTTAACACATATTTGGTGCATTGCGATATAATATAATACATAGTATCACAGTTCAGTAGTAATAAAACATTTTAATTATCATGACAGACATTACAGCCACGGAATCAGAAGATAAATTATCTGCATACAAATATGCGTAAGTATTTATAGTTTTTCTATTCTTCCAATTTTTGTAGAAATACACGACTACTTAGCAATTTCGGAATAATGATGCATATAGACGTTAATCATTCAGAATCCGATTTACCGTTTAACTCCGTCCATCCCCTCAATTATTCCTCAATGACATGTGCAGTTTTTATAAATTTGCAACATTTTAGATAAAGAGATATTCAAATAATAATCTTTATCTTTTTTTTCGCGAAGACAACTGTAAATTATTTTATTAATTAACTATTTTTTTATGGCAGTATATACTTTATAATACTATAATTATTTTTGTTTAAGGCTTGCTCTAAAGTCATGTTTTAAATATAAGAATTTCGAGGGAACCATAGATTGTTATAAGGCACCATCAGAAATAAACTTTATGTTCAGTAAAAAGCTGAAGTTTCTCATTTGCAACTTTTCGTTAGAGTGTTCTAGTACATTTGCAATTTTTTTGATTACTGAAGATGGAGAGGTATATATTGCATAAAAATTTATATTATAATAAAAGAATATTTAATATTTGTAAAAAATTACTAATGATTATTCAATATATTTTAAATATTTTTCTATATTTAGGAATTGAATTATAAATAGAGAATTAACAAACATTATTGTTTTTATTTAATTATAAATAAAACATGTAAAAATGTAAATAATAGAAAATGACAAGATAAATTTTGCCTTTAGAAATTCAGATTAGACTGTAGATAATAACACTTTTTTACATACTTTATGTCGCTACTGTTATAACGAGTTACAAAAAATAGATCCTTATAGAGAGTAATATTTCAGTATCCCGACTCTGTAACTTTTGACGATAGTTTGATACCGTTACGTTGTCATTGTGCAGCTTTTCATCATGTATTATAATAGATCTGTTTTCTATGGCTGAATTGTATTTGAAGTGAGAAAGGTATAAATTTGATATTTGTCGAAAGTGAGAAAGAGAATTCTCGTGCAGTCTAGTGCAGGAACAAAAAATAGACAAGATATTTGCTCAACGACAAAATAACGATACCGATATTATCGTTAAGAGTCACAGAATCGAGATACTGAGATACTACTCTGTATAGAAACGGCTATGACAGTTGTCAATATCGTTAACTAACGTTAGTCAATGTTAAAGACGAAGAAAAGAAATAAGCGCTGCTCTTTGCTTTACTTTTACATTATTTTATTTTTCAACACTTTGTGAACCGAATTAATCACAGTACGAAATAAGGCTATGATATGTAATATACAATAAATATAATCTATGATAATCTTTAACTATCTTTAAAAGAAATATTATTGGAGAAGCAACTTGAAGCTGTATGAAGGAATAGGTAAATTATTTGATGTCCGTTATTGGCCTGATGTAAATGATTGGACCAACATACGCATTGTAAAAACCGCATTTCATCCCACTAACTCTATGGTTTTAACTGATGATGGAAAGGTAAATTTATGAATAAAATATACTATAAATATAATAACAATAATTTGTATTGAATTTATTTAAATATACGGATTTTATTTAAATATATTATGGTTATTTAATTTAGATATATTATTTAACTCCATTTCGAATATGGTGGAATGAACCTTGCCGCAAAGTTCGCAACTATATCAGACAGATAAATATCAAAGGAAAAATTACACACATTGCTTGTGGTCAAAATTTTTATGTGATCGTTAGTAATAACAATGAAGTGTATGAGTGGGGTTTGTCTGATAAATATGATTTCGATGTAACTGAAAATGAAGACAATTTGATGACAGATCCATGTAAAGTGATCCAATTCTCAAGCGAAACAGTTGGTAACATATTTGTTTTTAAAACTCATATATATATATTAATAAAAAAGTGAAGATATATAAGTAAATCTAGAATTTATGAATATGATAAATCTAGAATTTATGAACTATTAAATAAACAAATTTCTCTAATTTCGATATTTTAGTTAAAGTTGTTTGTGGACATTATCATACACTTGTTATCACTGACAAAGGAAAAGTCTATGCCTGGGGTGCTAACTATAAGAAACAATTGAGTTCATTCTTTATTGATAAAAGTCTATCTCCTTTTATGGTGAATTATTTAATTGTTATTGTTCATAATTTTCGTGATAAAAGGAACAAATAAAATAAACTAGAAAATTTTGCGATTACAGATAAATATACCTAATGTAAGGAAAATATCAGATATTGCCGTTATAGAATATACAAGCATTGTTAAATCTAGCGAAGATCAACTCGTCTATATACGGGGTGAGCTGTTTGGAAAGAAAATTAAGGAATATGTTATCTGCGAATACACAAATATATTTGGCATATGCAATTCGATGATGGCACATTCACCGATATCTATTATTCATACATATACAGATGAAGAAAGTATGATATTAAGCGATTTAGAAACGGCGTTCAACGATAGTGTAAGTTTTATTCTCTATGCTAACGCGTTAATATACTTTAATAGATTTTCAATTAATTGGAGGCCTGCCAGGTGTCGCAAGCAAGCCATTTGTGTTAAATATTTTCATATTTAATTAAAAGTATTCATAGTAAATTAAAAGTTTTCATAGTTAATTAAAAATATTTGCTCTCATCCTCTTCTTTATCCTCTTTACTCTATAGATTTTCAGCACGTTTTTTATATGCTAATATAATCTTTCTCTTCTTATATTATACTTGTTACATATATTTATTTTGAACAATTTTTATTTCTCATGTTTAAAGTCAACGAGCGATCTTACAATAGAAGTTGGAAAGAAATCTATCTATGTTCACAAGAATATTCTAAAAATCCGTTCATCATATTTCGCAAACATGTTCCAGTTTAGTGGACTTGAAAATAAACAAAGGTAATTATTTGTAAAATAATTAGTGCATTTTTATTAAAAACTTGTTACGTTTGACTAATTTCTTGCACTTTAACATGTTTTTGAACAGCGTTATCAAATATGATGATTATTCATATATTGTTCATAGAGCGTTTTTTACATATTTATACACCGGTATAATCGATCTATTGTCTTTGGAAAACGAATTAGGTGAGTTTTAATTAAATACATTGGTCTTCAATTAATAATTAAAATGAATGTTTCGTTACAGAGCTCTTGAAGTTGTCTAACAAATACTGCATGTCAAATCTTGAGAAAGATTGTATTCAAATAATAAAAAAAAAGATAACGGTATTTGACGTATTCTCTATTAAAGAAATAGCAATAGAGTGTAGCATGAAGGTACCACTTTTCTCTCTTTTTTCTATTATTTCCTTTCCAAGATAAAATATTCGATGATTTTTTTATAAGATTGATTTACTGTCCAATTAGGATTTTATTCTTAATTATGTACTTTTCTTTTATGTTGATTTTATGTTGTACATTTTCTTTATTCATATTTCTGTTGCAATAAAATTTTATTTATTGAAAATTCTTTATATCATGTACGAATTAAGTTGCAAGACTATAAATCAAACACCTAGTCACTGCAACTGTTCTATTATTAATCTATTTAGCTAGTTTTAATTTAAATGTTAAAATTTATTAAATATAAAAAATGTATCTTTATATATTCTGTGTAGTTAACTTAATTATTTATATATATCATATAATTTTCAGGAATTGGAAGATTATTGTTCCGATTTTATCTTAAGACACGATGTTGGAGATTTATACTGATGTATCAAAGGACATTTTTTTATTTTTATTTTTAGATATCAATAAATTTTTACTTTTTGGAATAACATGTTTACAACATTTATTTAATATTTATGTTATTTAATATTTAATATTTATGTTAATCACGCCAATTTAGGAAATTGAAGATCATTACTTGAATAAACATATCGGAATTGATCAATCTCATTTGTCATTTTGTTTGACGATAAATGCGATTGGTTAATTCCAATGGATTAATCGACCGATTAAATTAATCGGTGTTGGTGAAAGAGAAATTTTAACCATTGAAGTTAATGGAGAAATTTTTCACTTTTTATCCTAGGAAAAAAGTTTCATGATCAATACCCTAAAATCAATTGCGGTACTTTAGCCCGGTATTCATAGTCGATTCTTATTTCAAGACCGTCTTAAGTAATGTCTTAAGACGCTAATGCAGCCCTCTGATTGGTTCGTGACTTCTTAAGACCAGAGAGAAACCTGAGAGAGGTGCCAGAACAATTTAAAATTGGAATGGTAATTAATAAAAATAAATAATAAAAGATAATTGTATATAATTTAAAAGTAATAATAATTATTGTAATATAATTTAAAAGGAATAATAAAACTAATAATAAATTTTCTTTCATAATGCATGTTTTACAAATCTAAATTTATTTTTCTCTGATTTAAACTTAATAGCATTCACAACGATCAAATTTTTCTATTTAAATTAAATTTTTTCATTTTATACGGTTAATTCTTTAATTTTTTGTGGTAATCTCTCATTGGAGATGGTTTTTATTTTTCTTATTTTTCGAAATATTCATATTTCTTGATATGATTCTGAATTTTTTTATTAATATGCTTCTTATTTATATTATTTTTCTAAGTATTATATTCTTATCCTTCTTATTTGCATTCATGCTTTGCTACTATACT